TCGCGTTCCCTGCCCTGCCGGCCGTGCTGTTGTGGGTGCAGTTGTGCCCCGGGCAGGAATGCGCCAGACAAAGGAGCCTTGCCTGCCAGGGGAGATCAGGTGTCCCTGGGGAAAGGGGAGCCGAGCACCATGACCAGCTGTAGCCCACAGTCCCGGGAAGGCTTGGAGGCCTTACCCAGCAGGTCCTCCCAGCAGTGGCCACCTCTGCTTGCTGCCTGGCCTCTCTGCGGCCTCTCCAGGGCTGCCCAGGCTTTCAGGGTTGCTCCCCAYGCCTGCTCGCGGCTGCGGCACCTTATCTTCATTGCTCTTATTTCAGTGTTTATCATTAACGTTGCGATGAGGTGCAGCAGGGCTCGTCACCGAGAGGCTGCTCAGTGCTCAGCACAGAATAGCCCTTGCCAGCCAGGGCGTAAGGGCCGCGTGAAAGCAGCAGCAGCCCCCAAGCTGCTCCAGGCAGAGCAGTATCCGCATGGGTTGCTTCCTCCTGGGCCCGGAAAGCTGCAGGAAGAGACATCCCAGTTGCCCAGCAAAGCGCAGCAATTCTCTGCCGGGAGCTGCCAGTGCATGACCGCCCGCATGGAGAAAGGGATCCACAAATCCTTACTCTTGTGGCAGTGAGACCCTCTGAARCTGTTTGTTGCTCCTGTTTTGCCTTGTGCAGACGCTGCTTTTCTCCAGTTTGAAAGGAGGGACAACATTGTCTTAAGTAGGTGCCTGGCTCCGTGCTGCTCGAGGCGGTGGCAGGTTGGGGACGGCTGGGTTGGGGTATCAGGTGGGTCGCAATGGCAGGGCCAGTTTCCCCGCTGCCTCCCGCTGTGGCCCTTCTGCCCAGCTCCAGGAACTGCTCCGCAGGGGCCCAGTAAAGCCAGCAGGAGGGTTAGCCTGGCTTATCTCTCAGTTATTAGAAGTATCACAAGACAGGCTCTTTGCATTTCCTGTTTTGTGTTTTTGCACGATTATTGAAATAATATATTAACCAAAACCCAGAAAACTCCCACTCAAGCAAACAGAGCAGAAGAGTGGTGGCATTGTGAAGAGAAAAAGGCAGAATTGTTCTRTAAAGCCAGCCAGGATCAGAAAAAAGGCCACGTTCATCTCAGCATGGGCAACGCCTGCCACTGCACCGAGGTACTTGGGAACTTTTCCTGAATACTCCCAAGTYGTAGCATGTTTAATTGCAAGCCCTGAGCTCTGGATTTCCAGAACTGGTGATCCTCAGCTTGGTACAATTATACATCTTGAAGTTTAAATTATATACCATTTGACATTTTTTTTTTGTCTTCTCATATTACTGTGGCTGAGATGGGGTGAGTTCCCAAGTGAAAGATGAATGAGAGAATGTCAATGAGAAGGGCACGTTAGATGACCAGATGCCATGTTTTCCTGTGCATGTATTTTCAGATATACCAGGTTGTGTCTCCAGAAAATTGTCRTCGTGCTATTCCCACCACCTTGGTGTTGGAGCTCCTGGGGGAGCGCTGAGCCTCTTAGCTCGGATGTTTTTAGTGTCAATATTTAGCCTTCTGACTGTAGGCGTTAGGGTTCTCAAAGCCTATACAATGACTGGACCCCAAATGTCCGTGATGTTTTGAAATCCTCTGGTTTTGTTTCACTTGCATGGTTTTGAGAGGAGTTTTTTGTCCGAGGTGCTGTGTGCTGGTCCTGGGGTGTCTGTGCTGGAGCTCGCGGAGCTGCTGCAGGTTCCTGCTGCTCCCGAAGCCCGGGCAGAAGCTCCCAGTGCCAAACATGAAAATGCCTCTGCAGCTGCAAGCAGCGTGCACAGCACTTCTCTAGTGGCTGTAACCGTACGATCAAAGGGGAAGCTCTGCAAATTACCCTGCTCGAGGGGAACCTGCGATTCCCGGGGGGTCACCACATTCACACATGGCTACGCGCGAGCAGGAGGCTGCCCCGAGCAGGAGCGCGCAGTGGGAGGATAAAGGAGCCTTTGATCTCCAGCAGGAAACTCCACCTTGTTTGGAGCCCGGCTTGCAGGAGAGCTCCGCGCCGGGGCAGAGCCGCCCGCCGCGCGGGCCGCTCTCCGGGGAGAGGAGGCCGCCCGTGCCCGAAGCCAAGGCCGCTGCCCCCGTGAGCCCCCTCGCTCCTGCCCCAAAGCCAATGCCCCCCATGAGCCCCCTCGCTCCTGCCCCAGCGCTGGAAATGGCCGCAGGGCCTCCCTCCCCCGAGGAGGCCCTTGTGCCAGCGCGGGCCGGCCCGGCTCTCGGGGCTTCGCCCTGATTCCAGGTCCCTGAGGAGCGTGTGAGGGCCCCTCGTTCCCAGGGGGGCCCGGCRGGGTGGCCGGGCCACTCCGGAGCAGCCGCTCAGGGGGCAGCGCGCGGCCAAGAGCCCCCCCACGCGGTCGGAGCTCCCCGGTGCGGCTCGGGGGCTTTGCCCGCTCTCGGGGTGGCCGATGGGCACCTCGTGGCGCAGGGAGCGACACAAACGCTTGTGCGTGAGGCCCCCCTGGGCCGGAGAGCAGCCAGGGCCGGGCAGAGCTCGGCCACGGGGCGGCAGAGGCAGCGGGGCCCGGGCTGCCGGCCTGGCCGCCCTCCCCAGCCCCAGCCCACCCGCCCGTCCCGCGGCACTCGTGGCTCCCGGGCCACCGAGGCCCGTCTGGACAGGGATCTCGGCTGCCCGCACCCTGGAGGCCCAAGGGAGACATTGTGCATTGCCAGGGCCTGGAGGAGCCGTGTTTCTCCCCAGCCTTTGATGTGCGCCGTGCAATCTCAGCCAGTCATCTGCACCCCTTTGTTGTCGACAGCAAGAATCGGGCCCGGTTCCTCTCATGCTGAAGTGACATGGCCGAAAAATGTCGCAGACGAGTCGTGCTCACTTGTAGGACCTGTTTTTGCTGCTGAGGACTCTGTGTCCCACTCATATATTACATGGCAAGATTGTCAAGTGTGGTTAGGTCCCCATTCAGCCTCTCTACCTGGTAGACTTCTGCAGTAAGCAGCGGTGCAAGAGAAGGAAACATCATCTGCCTGTGCCCGATCCTGCCCCATTGCCCAGCCCTTGTCGGCCCCATACTGGCCGTGGGGATGAGTCCCATCAGCTGGCCCCTTTGCGTGCCCCACAGCAGTGCTGGCATCAGGCAGCAGCCTGAGGGTAGGGCAGTGTTGAGGCGCAGTCCTTGGGGGCTCTGGGTGACCCTGCATGTGCAGGGGGGTTGGACTAGGTGATATCTAAAGGTCCCTTCCAACCTTAGCGATTCTGTGATTCCAYGGGTGTGGATGGGCAGGGATGGGCATGGATGGGCAGGGATGACCGTGGCAGGATGGAGAATGTAGGTCTCCCTCAGCCTGCCCTTGCAGCAACAGAGAGAGGCCACAGCAGGGTCTGAATTTTCCCCCATATCTGTGGAGTCTGCCAGATCAACAGCTGTTTTGCACTGCACTAGGATATTGTAGTCAAATTCCTCGAGGGGTACGAGGGGTGTCTGATGTTCCTTTCCGCTGCAACTTTGGGCTTCCTTGCTTGTTTCCCACACTTACAGGCACTGATGCGTTGCTGTCCAACAACCTTAGTACTTACAGGCTTTCCTAAATACACCATAACCTCTGTCCACTTCCTCCAGCTCCACTTAGTCACAGAACACCTCGGGAAGGAGGGCGCTGACCAGCTCGTTTTTGTCTTAGGAGGAGATGGGACGTTTTATGCAGGGTGACAGGACTCCCAAGAGAGAGGCAGGAATTGAATTCCAGCCTCRTACAGCCTCTAGTCAATCAGCACAAAGTCATCTTTCCTGCACTTACAGACTGAAAAATCAGCAACATTTCCACGCTTTCCAGACATGAATCAGCAAAGCACTCAGCAGATGTCACGGTGATGACAAATGCGCAGGCATGAGGCACTGCATGTCCCAGCTGTGCAGGCCCTGCCTCATCTCCAGCGGGTTCTACCACTGCAGCGTTAAGCGGGTGCTGCTGGCAGGGGTTACCCCACAGCTTGGGACTCCACAGCACGGGCACGTGTGGTTGGGCCAGGCCTGGTGCTGCTGCCTTCCGCGCCGTGACGCCCTGCTGAGCTGCCGGCCCTGCTCCTGCAGGCTGTGCTGGTGGCCTTGGGAGGCCCCGTGTCCACAGGGCCCTTCGTCTGTAGCTGTTGTCCTCTCTACACACACAGTGTCCCAGGGGTTTTATATATGTCCACAGCACAGAGAGAGCTTGGGCTGCYTTTGTACCCCTGAGCAGTGGCTGCAAGGCAGGAACCCTGGTCTGATTCCTGTTGCTGATGGCACTTATGTGAAATATCTCACCTTGTGAAGATGAGGGAGCCTGTGTCCCAGGAAGATCCTCTGCAGAGTTGCACGGCCACGCTGGGCTGTCTCATGCGTCTAGATCCAGGCCTGCACTGTCTTCCACCTCCTGCACTGTCTTCCAGCATCGTCCGCAAGCTCTGCCCCCTGCGCGTGCCGTTCGCCTCCAGCTGATGCCTGATTTTTCCAACCCCTCCTTGAGATGTGGTTGTCAAGATTTCTTCCTCTCCCATCTCATTCCTGGTACTTCTCTACTGTAACTTGCATTCAGTTTCTCACTACTTCCTTTGGCTTCCTCTTTAAATTTGTCAGAGAGGTGCTCAGTTCAGCAGCACTGGTTCATAGTGCAGGGGCACCGCGAGGTGCTTTTGTTGCTGCCCCTCAGTCAGCCCAGAGGTTGGTGCTCTGGGAAGGAGCTGTCCCTGTGTGCGCGAGTCCGCAGTGTTGGGTGCCGGGCACATCTTGCAGCCTGTGTGCTTGTGCTGGCAGGATGCTCTATCCCCAGTGAAGGGCGCTGATTCCGTAAGCTGTTACAGCTTTGAATATCTGTGACGGGGACAGAGTCAGGCTCGTGTCCATCCCATGGTAGAAATTGTACTGCAGGGGTCCTGCAGATATCCTGCAGATATCCCGTGCTCTGCTCTGAGGAGGTCCTAAGGCATAAGGTCTGCAGAAGGCTCAGAAAGCTCTTTGCAGAACTGAGCCTCAAGGTCTGAGTTTCCTTTTTCTTTTTTCCATACAGTCCCACCCACTGTCCCTGTGCAACACTAGTGAGGATGAACACACGGAAACAGGATTCATCACCATTGTCAAGCTTGAACAGCCGGATCGAGACCCCAACCCGTGCCTGTCGTTGGCTAACAAGGTACGTGCAAAAGTGCCCTGAATGGGATGGGGCTGTAGAAAGAAGCTGTTGTGCAGAAAAGAGTAAAAGCAAGAGGAGGTTGCAAGGTAGAGAAGAGCTGGTGGAAAGCAGAGAAAAGGCCCTGGGTGGAGGGAGGTCTCCTGGGAGAAGCATTGGGCCAGCCAGTTCAATATCCCTCTTTCTTTGGTTTTTGGACTGCCTAATCTTGCTGTGGGATTTACTCCAGTCTGGCTGCCCTGGACCAGCTTGGACCTTTCCCCAGCACCACGTAAGCTTTACAGCCAGCCAGCCCTGTGTCCTCTCTGTCCTGCAGCCTCCCTTTGCCTGACAGCCTGTTGAAGGGATTTCCACTTCCTTGGCCCTTTTCCTGCGCTTTGAGTGAAACTTGGATGCAAAATGTCTTCCATGCCCATGACTTTAAAAATAATATTGTAGTACTCCACCGGGACTGGCACATGGAGAGTCAGCGCTGAGCAATTCAGGCAATCTAGATGATCCAGAATTAGGACATGACTCTTTAACAGTGGGGACCACATTACAACGTGATGGGACATCTTAGATGTCTTCATATCAGATCTCCTGCGAACGAGGTGCCTCAGTAAAACAGCAATTTCTGTGTCAAAAGCTGAGGTCACTGGTACAATTCCCTGGTAATAAGGAAGTCACGTAACAACGAGGGTCATTAAGGCCTTAAAATGTTTGTGTCTCTGATAAAGTTGAGTGGGTAAACCTAGCATTAACTTTCCTGAAAGTTCCATAAACATGGAAAAAAAATCTGTTTAGCTCTTTTTTGCCTTACCTGGATTGCGTTCAGGTGATGTAGCCCCTGTTGTTTGCTTTCTGCTGGTGGTGAAATTCTGGGGCCGGGGTTCCTTCCCTGCGCAGCTCAGCTGCAGAGGGCAGGAAAGCTTTTCACCAAGCGGTCCTTCTTGCTCAGCATCTTGTCTGCTTCTCCTCGGGGCAGAGGGCCCTGAGCACCAGCTGGAGCATCGCAGTGCTCTGCAGGAGCACCGCAGAGCCTTTACGTGCTTTGCACGTGTTGGTGTGTTTGAGGTGTCCTGCAGCCCTGAAGCTCGCCTTTCTCCCAGATTCAGCCATTTGTTTTCACAAAGGCTGTGGCAACAAAAGCTGGGAAACTTGGAGATGCAGAGATTTTTCAAAATGTTTTCATAGGTTTCTATTTAACCTCTTCTGACTTGGTCTCTGACTTGAGGACGGGAAATGCTGTTATGCTCCTGAGTCCAGGGACTGGGTGAGGAAGGCCTGCACAGGGAGAACATCGGCTTGGTCATCCTCACTAGCTCCCGGGCTCTTCTCTAGGACCTTTAACTTCCCAAAGGAAATAACCCCCTCAAGTCATGAGCATACTCATGGCTTGGCAGCGTCTCTGGTCTTTAGTCATCTTAGCTTTGTTACCAGAGCTCAATCCACCTAGTACTGGGTTTTGTTTGAGAGCCTGTTCAGCTGAACATGAGTTGGTCACCATGTTGCTCCCATCTCTCCTCTCAATAACGGCCCACCATGAWCTACTCATACATATGAAATTGTACACCTGTATGTACACATACATTCATACATATGAAGTACATAGCCATGAAATGCAGACAAATCCTCCTTCAGCAGCCCACATTCCAGGGCCCTCCTTTTGCCTTGGATCCTGGCTCCTAAGCCCCTGCCCACAGCTGCTGCCCTTCTATAGCAGAGTGCAGCTGCCTCTCCGCCCTTCTGCCACGCTCCTTCCCCCAGGGGCAAACGGGTCTCTTTCTACATTGCTCCTCTTGACACTCCTCTTGCTCTTTCCCCAATGCTTCTCCCGGAGATCAGCGACGTAGCGGTGGGATGTGACCCAGCGGTGCAGATGTGACCCCCGCTGAGCTGGGGAGGCCTGGGCRCCGCCTGGGAGCTAGAGGGACGCGGGGCTCAGAGCTCCCCAACCTCCAGCCACTGGAGTCCGGCCACCAGCCCCGGGCCCCTTTCCCGGAGCTTTTCCCTACTTGTGGTACTTGAACAAGTGTCCCGCATTCACCAAGCCCCCTCTCTACTTTTAAAAGTCTCCACTGCACCGGTTTCTACTAGGTATTGATTTTATGCAGAATTGGGCTTATTCTGCTGTTTGGTCCGGGGAGTGAGCGTGGCTCGCTGGGCCAGCAGCGCTTGTTGCCTTGGCGTGTGTCTCCCGTGACAGAGCCCCGCAGGTTGAGCTGCAGTGCTGTATCAGTGATGATAAGAACAGCCATGTGCAAAGCGTTACCAGAATCTCTGCTTTTGCTGACCCTCTGCCAAGCAGTGCACACAGACTGCCCTTCCAAGCCTGGCCTGTGGATAACTTGATCCAGCCACCTGATGCTCTTTGCTGCTGCCCTGCTCTTCAGTTCTAGCACTGGCTCAGCATCCAAAACGAAAATCAGTGAAAACGCTGCCTGAACTGTGAGAACAGAGGCAGACATGGAAAATACCCTGGGAATGGATGCAGGATGGTTGGTTTCCCCTTTTCTTGTAATCTTTGCAATTTTCTGTGTATGTTTTTTTTCCTCTGACCTTGGGTGGGTCGGTGATTGCAGTGCTGGCTGACTGCTGAAGTCTCCAAAACAGTCTGTATTTGCACTAAAAATGTTTCAGTCCTCCAAGAGGGGAGTCCTGCTACGCTATGTGGCTCAAGAGATGAGCTGCATGGACAGCAAATGCTCATAAAATCATTGCAGCAAGCTGCTTGGGAATAACGTGAACAAAGCTGCATCCTTTGCATTTGGGAAAGGGCAACAATAGTTGAAAAATTCTGCGAGGTAACGTGTGCCCTGTCTCAGTCATCTGTTTCCCCACTGCAGATGTCTTTAGCAGGGTAAAATCTAGAGCTGTTCGTTGCTCAACAAAAGCTGCCCGAGTGTAGTGGGGGGCATTCACTACCTGCAAGTCTTGTTTGTTCTGCAGTGCTGGCAAATGCTGAGGATCCTTTGATCCCAGGCAGGACCCCAATCTCTGATCCCTGCCCTGAGCTTCTAATTCCCCTCTCTGGCTTCCCCTGTTACATCAAACCCAGGAATGTCAAATCCCATCAGCGACTCAGCGCCTTAAGCCCCATCTCCCAGTCCGCTGGGCTGCAGCGCGGTCCAGCTCCCAGGTCCCAGCTCCGGTGCCTCTCTTTGCACCACCAGCTCCGTCCCAGGCTCGGGGACCTGCCTCCAGCTGCCAGCCCCTTCCCTCTGGGGTGCGTGGAAGCAACGCGGAGCTGAGAGCGAGCGAGGGCCCTGCGGCTGCCTGCGGGCTGGCAGAGCCGCCCCGCTGTGTGTGCCCAGCCCGGGTGCTGCCCGGCGCTGCAGCGCTGCCCTCCGCGCCGCGCTCTGCCTCGGCGGCGGGGGCACTGCGGAGCGGCGCCGGCACATCCCTGTTTGCACGGCGCGCGGCACATCCCTGTTTGCACGGCGCGCGCGGCGCCCGCATCAAAGCCACCTGCGTGAGTAAGAGCGGCCCAGCCCTGCACTTTGTTCACCTTCCTGTCTTCCTTTCACAAGAGGCAGCTTTGTCTGCCATGAGCGCTCGGCAGGAGGACGTGGCTGACACTGTGAAGTCCTTTAGGCAGTGCCTTTGCCCTGACCACAGTGACATTTATCCTCATTTTGCAGTGGGAGTCAAAGCTGTCCCTGTCAGACTGTGGCAGACATGGAAAGCTGTGAAAAGCACAGCAAGAGTGATCTGACTCGTAATCCTAGGCCTGACTTGCAGTCCAGGGATCACCTAAGCCTCTCCCTGATGAACGCAGGTCCCTGCATCAAGGGGATTACACAAAGCAGTGTACAGGGCATGGGAGTCAGGGCTGTAGACAGCCCATGGCTGGGGCAGCATGATGAGAAAGAGGGACCTCAAGAGGGTTTTTGCTGCCCTGGATGGAGGGGTTAAGTTGCTGCGAGCACTGCTAGCAGTGACAGATTCCTCCCCAGCAAACCTAGCCCTGATGTGGGAGGCACCTGGCCCAGACATTTATGGGAAAGACTTGATGTTTAGATGGGTTGTTGTGGTGGAAACCCACCAACTGCACCGCTGCARCTGTGGGGAGAAGCCCTCCAAGAGCCACAGAGCTGTAACAAGAGCAGGCACTGGTCTCACTGCAGCTCTACATGAGCACAGAGATAAAAATATGAGCTATTGTTTTATTTGAAGCAGCAGACACTTCTTTCTTCCATGAAGAACCAGGCAAACACCTATGAGATAAGTAGATGCAAWGATGTGCAATATCCAAAAAGGTTTTGTTCTTTCTGACAGGCCAAGCTGGCGGGAGAGCGTGGAGCCCGAGCTATCCTTTTTGACATTACTGATGATGAAAGTGCTGCTGATCAGGTACAGACGCCACTGATACTATCAGTCCTGTCCCTTCCCCAAATGCTCAAGGAGCTCAGGAGCCACCAACCATCGCCGTGCTGGGTCATACAGGTGCCGCCGGGTCCCAGGAAGTTAGTACAGGCTAGTTGAGCTAAGCAAAACTCTGGGTTGACTCCTGGACCCTGGTTCCGTCCCTGTGGTTCTTTCATGTACTTGCAACTTAATTCCTTGTGCTAGAGAAATGCAGCAGCAGATCCGTGAGGTGACACTATGGCTTTTGAGCGTATGGGAAGTGGTTCGTGCGACCAAAAGACCGCCTTGATTCAGTTTTATCTGAAGGACAGAGCAGGCTTGGCCACTTACTGAGTCAGCCCAAGTCAGGCTGCTTGGACTACATGTCCGTGGTGGAAAAATGCACATATAACCAAGAACAAACTGAATGTCATACAGCTCAAATGCAGTGGAGGGACTCTTAGGAGTGCCACAGAAAGGATGAAGTGTTGCTGTAAAGAAGGCAGCACTTAGTGGTGTGATAGGCAGTTCCCACATGGGAGAGGAGAGACCAAGAACTTTTTTGCACGGGGACTTGAGAGAAGAGTGAAGGAGGAACCGAGCGGAGTGTCCAGTTGTGCTTGAAGAGGAGACACCATTGTGGGTTAAGCTATAGGAGGAAATGAAACAAGCCCTCCTGATGAAGAGCTGGGGAAACACTGGGCAAGAAGCTTCAGTTGATGCAGAACACAATCACAGAAAGATGATGTGGGCTTGGAAGAACAGCGTTGGTCTCTAAGGTGTCTGTGGAACGGAGGCTCTTGGCGTGCCTGGCAAACAGACATAGTCCCTGTTTCAGACTGTTCCAGACCATCTCTCACCACGTTTATTTCTTTACAGCTGAGAAAGCCCAGAGGTCTGAGTCAACCTGTGGTTCTGATCAGAGGCCACGATGCTGAGCTTCTCATGGGTGTCGTGAACAAGAACAGAGAGGCGCACGTGAAGATAGAGGTCAAGGAGCCACCAGCTTGGGTGAGAGACACACCATTCCCATTGCCTCCTCTGTCCTTTCTCCCAAGCTCCTGTGCCTTGAAACAGGGCTGAGCACCCAGCGTGCCCAGCTTTCCTGCCTGCGGATGGAGGCGGCAGCTTTTGGCAGTATTTAGATAACATGCAAATACTTCAAAGAACTTCAGCTTATTTACAGCTTATGTTATTTAATCAAGAGTAAGGCAGAATTTCCTGTCTTTTCAGGTGAGGCTAAGATGCTGCAAGAGAGAGAAATTTGATTTCTGATGGAATTTGCACAAAAAAAAGCTTGGATTCTTTTTGTTTTATTTGTAAAGAGCAAGGAGGTAGAGTTTGGCCAAGAATTATGTATTCAAAAGCTGATGGTCAGGAAGAGATCAGGATTGCTCTGCCTAGGCTCTAGCTCCCAGCCCTGACCCCCATGGGTAATTAATTTCCTGTTTTATTCAACAGCCAGATTATGACGTGTGGATTCTTCTCACAGTGGTCAGCACTGTTGTCGTGATCATTTTGATTTTTGTTGTCCGCACAAAGTGCCAGCTGAGCAGGACTCAGGTAAGAATCCCAGGGAAGAAATGGGTCTGAGTGAACAGAAATGCATCGAAGACAACCATGAAGGCAACCTGGGGGAGGCCGTGGGCCTCCTTGCAAACTGGCCACCTGGCCACCCGCAGCCTCTGTGTCGCAGGGGTGCACGGGGCAGTTCGGAGATGGGTTGAGGTCCTTTGGGCAGTGGTCTCACACTTCTCTTGCTGCCCCAGCAGCAGTGCCCCAGCCCAGCACCGGTCAGAGCTTGTCACAAGCTCTGTCATGCTGGGGCAGCAAAGCRGGCTCACAACCTCTTTGGTTTAGCATATTGACAGAAAATAGAAGTTTCAATATTTTGTAAAAACTAACAAATTAAATAAAGCCTTCTTCAAGCCTTCACACAGCCTACTTTAATCAATCGATCACAATTAATTAATTGCACTCAGCTGGGGACCTCAAAGCSCTTAGCAAAGGAAGGAAGCCCAGGAGAGGTTCAGGCGTTCAGCACGGATGGGTGTCTGGAGGCACCCAGCACTCAGGGAGGAGGCAGTGGGGGCAGCAGCAGGGACACGATGGTGTCTAGGGTTGTGTCATCCCAACCAGACTGCTCTGCCTCAGCTCCCTGTGGCCACGTGTGGTTCATGGTCTGACAGCCGGTGCAGGACAGTTTTACCTTCAGCCTCACTTGCCCTGGGCGCTTTTTGAAACCTCCTTCCTTTTTTTCCCGCAGGACTCCTTGCAGCAGCAGACCATGCAGGCCATCGGGCAGCTCGCCACGCGCACCTACCAGCCCCGGTGCCGCCAGGCCGCGCGCTGGGACTCGGCCAGCAGCTGCAGCTCGGCGCCCGTCTGTGCCGTTTGCCTGGAGGAGTTCAGCGAGGGCCAGGTAGGCTGCACGGCTGCTCCTCCGCCGCAGCTGGGGCTCTCTGGATGCTCCGTGGGGACAGCGGGGCAGCCCAGCGGGGTGGGAAGCACCTGGGAGGTTTCCTGCAGCAGCTCCCGAGGGCTGGGGAAGGACAAGCAGGACAGAAGGGAGTCTGCCTCGGAACTTGAGCAAAAAGCACTGCCTGCCCTCCAGTTCCTTACCTGCAGATCCAGATTCCCTATAATTGGGACTCCTGGTGTTTCCGTAGGTTAAATATATCTGTGTTGGGTCTGTTTTGTTGGGTGGAGAAGGAGGAAGGAGGGGGTTTGCTTCCTTAAAGCACTTCACTTGAAATCCTGTATTTGGAGGGAGCCAAACACCTCTCTACATGTTCATGCCACCGTGGCTTGGCACAGCCAGAGAACTCAATATACCAGGCTGCAGAACAGCCTCTTGCATGCAAAACTGCTCTACAGTTTGCCTACTATTAGACCTCTTTCCATTTTACACGTCCTCGTTCCTGGAGGATCAGGAGAGCCCCATCTCCCCATCTGCAGATCCTGGGACAAGGTTCTCCTCACTCGCCCTTCTCCTTTTCTTCCCATGTTTTCCTAGGAACTACGGATCATTTCGTGCTCCCATGAGTTTCACCGGGAGTGTGTTGACCCCTGGCTGCAGCAACACCACACGTGTCCACTTTGCATGTTCAACATCCTCGGTAGGACTCCGGCGCAGCGTTGTGCAGCTGGGCATGGGCGGCGTGTGCARGGCTCTGCTCAGGGGGTGGCTTTGGGGGTCGTGCCCAGCTGTGCTGTGGGCAGCAGCACGTGGCTCCACGGAGGGGAGCGCAGCGAGAGCTTGCACAGCTGCAGCTGTGTGTGGTGAGGTGCTGGCTTGGGGCCTGTGCCAGGAGGAAGGGGTCCCAGCGCCAGGACAAGAGCAGTGGGGCTGGCAGGGGAGGCTGCTGGGTCTGCGCGCAGGGGCAGCGGGARGGTGCGAGGCACCGGCCGCGTGGCGTGGGACCATCCTGGCCGTGTGGCTGCAGTGAAGGGCAGTGGGGCAGGGGCGGGACGTGGCGCGTGGGGGAGCCTTGCTGGGACCCTTGAAGCCGAGGGGCAGGGACTGGATGTTCCCTTCTTTTTGTTCCTAGCCCGAGACTCTGTGGAGCAGGCTGCAGGCCCTGGCTCCAGGCTGGCGCCGCGGGACCTGGAGCCTGGACGGCGGCTCCATCTCTTCCGGCAGCACCCAGGACATGCCCTTTATCACCTGCCCCACGCCTATCCCCAGCGGAACCTCAGGAGCTTCCCGCCGGAGCCTGCGCACGGCAACCCCTTCTTCCGCTCCCCGCAGCTCTCCCGGCTGGATTTCGGCACTATTCACTACGTGCCCTACAGGCCGGCCGGCTCCCTGCCCGCCTGCCGCCCTCCCTCCGCGCTGGTGCCCGCCGTGCTGGCCGCGCAGCAGGGCCCGGCCGCGGAGTGCGGGCAGCCGCTGCCCTCTCACCGGCCCTGCTCGCTGCCGGCGCCGTGCGCGGTGCTCAAGGCGGCGGCTGCGGCGCAGAAGCAGCACCGCGCAGCCCCGCCGCGCCGCGGAGCTGCCCTCGGCCACCAGCACAACAGCAGCGGCTCCGGCGAGAGCTACCTCACCGAGCACAGCGGGTACCTGGCAGACGGGCCGGGCAGCGACTCCAGCTCCGGGCCCTGTCACGGCTCCTCCAGTGACTCTATGCTGAACTGCACAGACGTCAGTCTCCAGGGCATCCACGGCAGCTGCTCTACTTTCCGCAGCTCCCTCAGCAGCGACTAYGACCCCTTCGTGTACTGCAGCTCGGAGGGACCTGCCGTGGACCACAGGCAGGAGCAGCAGCTGGCGAGGGAGACGCGGCCCAGGTCCTTGGACCTGCTCGTGCCTGGGGGTGCTGCTGCAGCCAAGCCCCAGGTGCTCGGCCATGTCCACTACCACCAGCACTATAGGAGAGAGGCCGAGTGCCCRTCCGGGCGTGCTGGGCCGAGCCCGCGCAAGTCCCGCTACCCTGGCACCAAAGTTGGCCTGCACAGTGCTCGGACGCAAAAGAGGACTGAGAAACCCCACCGCTGTCAGCAGCCTCTTGAAAGTAGCACTGTGTCACCAGAGGCCCCTCCGGCAGGGCAGCCCACCTGCCTCCAGCAAGGCCGTGAGCTTTCTGGGGCCCCTTCTGCCTCTCTGAACAGGCTGGACTTGGGCACAGATGCTAGCAGGCTTTGGGGAGCAGCTGGCACGTCCCATGTCCCACTGCCCCAGAGACACGGCTTACATGGGCGTCATCACAGAAGGAAAAGAAAGTGTCCCCTGGAGCCCAACCCTCCTCACCTCCCCGAGGACTCAGTCTTGCACAAAGCCTCCGATGCCCGTGTTCCTTACAGCCATCCCGCCGGTGACAGCTGCTCGCCGGAAGTCCAGCCCCTCATCCCAAGTGCTCCCCTGCCCTGTGGCTCAGGCTCTCGGCCACTTTGGAAGTGTTTGGTCCCACAGTCCAGCTCGGAGCTGAAAAAGCAGGAGGACGGGTCCTCGGGCCAGGAGGGAAACCTCCTGGTTGCTGCTGATTTCTCAGGGACGGGCGCCCCTGCTCCCAGTCTGCGTGTTCACCCTCACTGCCAGTCTCAGCGATGTAGCCGGGGTAAGTCTCTTATTTGCCTCTTCTTTCAACCAGCAGAYGGAGAAGGGTGGTTTGTTGTGGGTGGCTTGTGAGGATACTCGCGCTGCACGTGCACAGGCTTCTGTCACAGTGGGATGTCCTGCCGGTCACTGGTAATTCTGTGTTCACCTGTTATTTCTGATACTATCCTGAGATGATTTTGCAGATCTGTGATTATCAGCCAGTCAGACACTGCAGACTCATCAAAAAAAAATTAGAATGAAGGAGGATGTTTCTAAAGTGAGAATCGCTTAAACTAGAAACTGGAATATCTTCCAAAGCAAAGGGTAGAACCCTGTTTCTCGGTGTCCCTATCTAGACTGCCCTACTGCAGGATTTGTCAGCAATGCTGCTTGCTGTGCCTTAACTGTCAGTTCTAAGTTCCAACTTACTGAACTGGATAAGGAGATGAGTGTCCATGGCTTGTGCTTATAGAAGGACAGACTAGATGAGACATGAGGGACATGTAAAGCCATGAATTCATCTGCCTTAGCTCTGCGGTAATTAAARTTGAATCCTTCAGCTAACTGTTGTACATCAATTCTGCCTCTCCTTGAGGCAGCAAGTGCATTTGAGATTGGGATTCCTGTCAGAAAAGGAACCCAGTTTAGCTCCCCGGGCTGGTGCTCTCAGGCTCTTCTGCAGATCTCACCTGCAGACGGGACGTGTGGGACGGCAGGCGGGATGCGCGGAGCAGGGGGGACGGCAGGCGGGATGCGCGGAGCAGGGGGGACGGCAGGCGGGATGCGCGGAGCAGGGGGGACGGCAGGCGGGATGCGCGGAGCAGGGGACGGCAGGCGGGATGTGCGGAGCAGGGGGGACGGCAGACGGGATGTCACAGGGTCCTGTGCCTGCTGCCTGCGGTGCCACCCTGAGGGCAAACGAGCTGCCACCGAAGTGGGGGTACAGGCAGTTCCCTGGGGAGCTTGGTGCCTTTCTGCAGCAGCCCCCGCTGCTCATTGAACAGCCCATCCTGTCTTCTTGGGAACGCTCGTCCCAGTCCCGGTGCCCCGTGCTCTGGGTGCGTCTGACCTGACCCGCTCCGCGGCTGCCTTGGGGACGCTCGGTGCCTCTCGGGGGGACGGCGCCTCTCGGTGGCTGGTGCCAGGGCAGCTGGGGCTTCCCCTGCCGCCTCTCGGGGGCCGGTGCAGAGGGGCACCCAGCTCCTTGGGGGATCTGCAGACCGCTCACGGCCGCCCCGCGAGSGTGTTGGGCTCCTGTGATCCAGGGCTGCTCAGAGAGGGACCCTGACGCAGCTGCCACGCCGGGGAAGGGTGTCCCCTGCCGTGGTGACATCAGCGGGTTCCTCCGTGTGCATCCCCCTTGCTGCGGCCCGAGGGAGTCCCGGTGGGCTGGGAAGCGAAGGCGCCCTGTGCTCGTGCCAGGTCTCCTTGCCCCTCTTGGCACGGCCACGCGTGCCCTGCACGGGCAGGGGAGCAGGGCGCGCTCTCCTCGGTGTGCCCAGGGTGGTTGGAGCTGCCGGGGCAAGTCCTGCGCAGCTGCCTGTCACCTGGGCTAGGTGGCCTCGCGTGCCACCCTGCTGTGCGGGACCCACGTCCCGTAAGCGCAGAGCGGGGACTGGGGACAGCGACGCCAGCGGTGACGTTGGGGTGCCGGGTGAACCTGCTGCAGCTGCCTGCAGCTCTGCCCGCGTGTGGGCGCCCTGCTCTGCCTCCCCTGCCCTGTGCGGGCAGCGGGCAGCACCTGGCTGTCCTCAGAGCTCCCTGGAGCCCCGGGAGCACAGCAGGGAAGCGCTGGGTGCCCCCCGGGAACACGGACCTGCCCTTGAGTCCCCCCCTGCAGGGGGCAGCCGGGAGGGAGCCGGGGGGTTGTCCCTGCGGTGCCAGTGTGGATGCTCTGCACGTGGGAGGCAGTGTGGGCYATTATGGGATGCCCTGGCACGTACGGGAACACCCCTGGAGGGAACGGATCCCTTCATCCCAAGAGAGAGCTTGGAGCGTCAGTCATCGTCCTGAGGACAGTAGAGCTCACACGGGAGCTATAGAAAAGCTGTCACATTGAAAACACACTGCTTGACCTGATAGATCAATAATCAATTCTGTGGCATAGGGATGGGGTGTAAATCAACAGGGAACAGGTGGGAAACAGCAAAGATCAGTCGCAGCAGCCAGCCTCATTTTAGTGGGATGCGCATAAAATAAGGCAAGGAAGCCAGCAGAGAATCAATATATACGTCTAGATGAATGCTGGAAGGCTAAAACCTAAGTGGGTGAATTAGGAGGCCTGGCTCTAAATGAAGTTTTTAAGAATTTAGGAAAYCCAGAAGAAGAAAAGAGGGACGTTCATTCCCCAGGTGAAGCCCTACAGAAGGGTACGTCATGGTGGCACGGGAGGGCACTGTGCATTGAGGACAGTGCAAAGTCACAGAATCCTTAAGGTTGGAAGGGACCTCTAGRGATCATCCAGTCCAACCCCCTGCACACGCAGGGACACCCAGAGCACGGGGCATAGGGCTGCAACCACGTGAGTTTGGGAGATTCCCCAGAGCAGGAGCCTCCGCAGCCTCCCTGGGCAGCCTGGGCCAGGGCGCTGGCACCGTCACTGTCGGGAAATTTCTCCTGAAGTCCAGTGACAACCAGCATGAAGTCCCCAGTTGTGCCTGACTAGCGTTGTAATATGCTGTGTATGAGCATAAATCTGTGCTCTGCATGAGCRCTGCAGTATGAGCACCGGGGACTGTGTGAGCATTATAATATGCTGTGTTAGCATGAATTGCCAAAAAGAAGTSTCCGTAAAAACAGGAATCTTCCTAAAACCGTATTAAAATAAACATTTGAACGAATTAGATGTTTGGGGGCACAGGGATCATTTAAAGATACAACAGCAGGTGCCCGGAGCAATATCCCCAACCCTGAGAAGGCTCCAGAAAAGCCCTATCCAGGGAGCAGGGCAAAGAAAACCCTTAGAAGAAACAAGCAGTTCTTCACCGCTTAGGGCCATGTGAGACAACCAAGAACGAGTTAGGYGCAGAGCTAAGCGCGGAGTCGCACCAGGCAGGCGGGGACGGTTCCTGTGCACAGCCCGGGTAAAACGGAGCGCCCAGCAATCAAAGCCCTGGCCTCCACTCGCGGAGGAGCTGCAAGCGCCTGCGGAGCGTCGTGCGGTGGCACAGCCCAGGGCGTGAGCGGCTCCCAAAGCAATCCATGGGGATGGGCGCTGCCGGAGCCGCTGCAGCGGGAGCAGGGACACGTTGCGGGGCTGCGGGGCCCTCCCTGGGTGCCGCGCGGGGCCCCAAGGCGCAGGCACCGCGCGGGACCCGCGCGCCGGGGCTGAAGCCACAGAACCCTGAGCCTGCCYTTCCTGCCCACCCCATTGCTGGGAATTTAAATACAGCCTGGCCYGTAGACCCACGGGAAACGTGGAGTCCGGGGAGGAGGCGGCACAGCCTTTATCAGCAGGGAGAACGCCCTGCAGGCCTTTGCGGGACCGAATCCATCAAAGGATCAAAGGGAAAGTCCCCTCCTGGGTAAATAACTGGATAAAAAATAAGAGGAAAAGTGCGGAGCAGTTTTAGTGGAGGAAAATAACTAGGAAATGGAGCAAAGGGGAGTTCTCCCAACTGGCTGCATTTTTCAGTCAGCTCAAAAATATCCTGGAGGAGGAAGGGAGCTAACAAAGTTGGCAGAAGTTGCTCTTGTCAGCGGTACAGCTGGTCGAAGCATCGGGCAGGATCTCCTGTTAGGGAGTTAGCGGGTACCAAGGTGGCAGGTGAAGGGCTGTGTACATGGCACCTGCGGCACCCGTGAACAGAACTGCTGCTCAATGCCCCATTACCCCGGTCAGCGCCGCCCAGACCTGCTGCGCGGAGCTGGCCCAGAGGCAGAGCACTGGGGAGACTGGGGACAGAGAACAAGAGCAAGCAGAAGGTGACACCAAGTAACTGCCCAACTCAGTGGCACCCCCAGGACCCACCACCAAGTTCTTGTCACGCCTTCTCATGGGAAGTGATAGTAAAATTGGGAAAAGTACATAAATATGTGAGGTTTGAGCAAAAAAGAAAGAAAATAGAGACTTTCATGTGGAAAGGATGTGAAACTGATCTGTGAAGTCATGGCGGGTAGGGGGGAAGGAAGGTAGGAGATATGAATCACTGCTGCTTATAGCAGAGTGTCTCCTGGCATCAAAGGGGAGCCGGGAGCTGYAGAGCCGCGGGGAAGGCAGCGCAGGGCGCGCACCGACGTCGTGCTGCTCCTCGCCCACAGCTTGGAGGTGCTAAACCGGGCTCGGGATCCTAGATCAAGAGCTATCACACAGAGAGATGCAAATACGGGCTGTGGCTCGGGAAGTCCCAAACCGGGGTTTCGGGAAGCGGCGGCATCCTGTGGGCTGAGGTGCCCCGGGTGCATCGTCGCCCAGGTGCGGGCCGAGGCCGGTGCTCCGTGTCCCCGGGGAGCCCCTCGGCAGGAGYGGCACGCGCTGGCCTGGGCGGCGCTGCCCGCAGCTCGGCCACGGTTAGCCCCTCGCTTGTCCTGAGCGTGGGCCGCCTCCTCCAGCACCCCGCTCGCTCCTCCGTGGGGGTTCGCGTGAAGCTGTGCCCCGCTGCTTTGGCCTCGGGCCCCATCCCTGCAAGTTACAGCACTGACGTGTCACGGAAGGATCCCGTCCTTGAGCAATGCTGCATGCATCCCTTAAGAGAATCAGGGCTTGGGCATGAGCTACAGCCCGAGGGCTTCCCGGAGGCCCCCGGGCATTGATCCCATCCCCAAGCAGCGGATTCCTCCTGGCACAGGGTGCTCAAGTCCCTTGCTTGCCCCTCCTGGGAACTGTGTGTGTCAGCACGGGCCCCTCTCCTGCTCCCTCTTAGGCTYGCTCCTTCATGTCCCTTCTTCGCTCCTGACTGCCAGGGAGGAAGGGACTAGAGGGCAGAAGACGCTCTCTGTTAAAAGACAGCACCCAAGGAACAGGGTTTCCACCGGTGTCACAGTGTGAGTGCGGTCCCTGGGGTCCTCAGCCCCGCGGGGTCAGGAGCCAAGTTCTGCCACCTCAGCATCTGCTGCACACGCGCTCGGCTTGATGGACCTTCCTGCCCATAAAGCTGTCCTGGAAGCTGAGGGCACTCACACAGGCAGAGTTGTCACAAAATATTTTAATAGTTTATATATAATTATGTAGTTTATAATTTAATAGTTTGCACTCGGGGTTTCTGCCTGATCACAGAGCGATGGAAGCTGCAAAGCGGCTTTTGTGTTCTCTGTAGGAACAGTAATTAGCAGTGGATTATTCAATGTGCTGGTTATACAAATCACAGATGCCAGATACTCCGAAATACATCTTCTGCTAGCATGTGCATGTAAAATGCTCTGACTGTGCTTTAATTTTCCCACATCTATTTGCTGCATTTTCAAGGCTGAATCTCATTTAGTTGTTTTCTTCCCATATATTTAATTTGTAGAGGTTCTGTGGYTGGTGAATAACTTGTAACGAACCAGAATTTGCTGCGACTATTTTTAAAAGTTCTTTTGAAATGCTTCTGCAAATATTGAGATAGGCTTTTTTTTTTTCTTTTTTTTTTTCTTTTGAATTCAAAAACATTAAAGGAAAGGGCAATGTAAAAATAATGCACATCTGCATTACCTGGGCTATACTTAGACTGCGAGAGCTCTGGGTGGGCCTGAGGGACACGCGGGAAAGGGACCGTGTGCGTGAGCGCCCAGGCACGCGAGAGAGGAAGGGAATATCTAAGGCAGGTAACTGAGGGCACACAGTTCCTAGGCAGCCCTGAGGCTGAAATGTTTCAATGTCAACGATTCGGCCCCTGTGTGTAAATAAATCACAGGGCAGAAGGAGCTGGTGARGAGCACGAACTGCCGTCCTTGCTGGCGGGCCTGCGGGATGGGCGCTCGTGGCCAACCTCCCCTCGAGGGCTTGGCTGCTGTTGGAACTCCAAGCACTTTGTGCAGCTCGGCTCCGAGAATCCCTCGTGTGTTCCCTTCTGCAGGCACACAGCCCCTGCACACTCCGTTTGTTTTCTGGAGTTTCTCCTGTTGCTGTCCCCTGTGCATGGGAAGTACGGTTGTGGCATTGCGTGGGAGCGAATCCGTGTTACTGACAGTTACTGAGAATTTTTGAAATGTCTGTTCAGATTTTCCTCACATTGTAAACACCAAAAAGCCATCTGGCAGCATGGTGAGTCGTGGCAGGCACTATATCCTTAGCCAGTATTTCCTGAAATGTCCAGGGAGTAGATTGCTGTCTTATGTGTAGGTTTGATCGTTCATTAACTCAGAGGAATAAACTCATGAGGAGATAGCCAGGAAGCTCCCTCCAAAATGCCGGGACAAACCTGGTGGCTTTCACAGCAGTATCTGTTTTCTGTATTGCAGAATTAAGACTCTAGCAGCCACAGGATCCTGAAGCATTCAGTTAGTGAGAGTTTACATTTTCTTTTTCTTTTTCTGAATGCAGGATCTGAAGAGGAGGTCCAGGATGTCCATGAACACTCAGTTTAATAAAAGACTGGCTCATTTGCTCACTACAGAGACCTGGAGTGGATAAGGAAGGTCAGAATACCAGCAGGAGTGGAGGTCACACCTTGCTCTCTACGCAGGCCCTGTAATAAATACACAGGCCAGACCAAGATGCAAACTGCAAATAAGTAACGTGATACTCCCTTGTGCTCTGCACACTTGTCCCCGTATTGCTGTGGTCACACAAACACCGAGTCCTGTTTCCCAGGCACAGAGAGCCCATCTTCAGCTCAGCTTCCAGCATCATCTGTTTGCGTGGCTAAGCTCGCTCCGAGACTTGCCTTGGGAGTCTCAAGCTGGAGAGCTCAGAAGAGTGAGTGCAAGCTGCTCTTCCAGCACGTTCATGCCATAGAAGGCATTGCTAGATACTTCAGAAAATGAACAAGCCTTCGAGACCAAAAGCTGTAGCAGTGGCTTTCCRTAGCCTGGCAGCTCCTGACTTCATTTCCTCACTTAGGTGAAAAGTCAAACTTCTTCATTTAACTTTTCCCCTCTTGTTTCAGACATAGGAACTAGGTAGTTTCCACCTGTGCATCCGCAGGTCTGCCCTGCAGGGTGCTTTTCCAGACTTCATGGGAAGCTAACAGCTCTCCCCACTTGCTGTCACTTCACTGCCCCTCAGCTGAAACCGTCTTGGCCATTTGCTGAGTTTTGCCAACTGCAGGAGAGASGAAGGAACAGGGCCATTTCCAGGGATCAGGCTCTGCACTGTTCAGAATCCACCAGCTCGCCTGATAATGTGAACAAATATCCTTGAACTCCTCCATTCCCTCTCAAAATGGCTGTTCTGGTCAGTGCTGTTGGGAGCGACACATTTGTTAGGTGTGTTTCAAATCCGAGATGAGCCCCGACAGGACTTGCAGGGAATCCTTGTGTGCACACGGTTCCTGCTGCTTCTCTTCCTCTCTCACTGCCCAAACACATAGCAAAACCCATCTTCTTATGGCTTCAAAGCAAACTCATAAGCTTCAGCAAAACCCAAGAAGTCCCATCCCACTTTTATAATGATCTTGCAAAGTAATGGTTCAGAATACTTTTCTCCCTTTTCTAACATGTTTGTGATGGGGAGAGAGAAAGCTTGAGAAATTTCTAGACTCTGGGTTRATTCACCTGTTGTTCCTTGGTTTTCTTTCATCTTGGGAGAATCATTAATTCTGATTTTTCCCATGTCACTTAATTAGGAGACATTCAACTAAAATGAAGACTGGGAAATCCAAATCCATAAAATCCGAACAGCTTTCACAGTACAGGGAATTAGGCTGTGGTGTTCATTGCCCGAAACCTTAATGCAAACCAAAGAACTAGGCAGATCTCCGTGCGGAGTGTGTATCCCATGGCCAGCAAGGCTACCCAGAGCTCTCGTGTTAATGCAGCGCTTGCAGGAATGCTGTGGTAGAGATTATGGTGACTTCTGACAACGTGAAACCCAGTGTGCAGACGGACTGTCCCCTATCCACTCTGTGACCAGCCTTTATATCTTCCTTCCGAGTACCTGCTTCTTCCCCACCTTGACAAAGCACAGTGCCTAGGTGCTCCCACGTCAGCTTGGCCCTGCCTCACCTTCCTTTCTGGGTGATAAAAGCTCTTTACAGATTCAGGTTGCTCCCCTGCATCTTTGGGTGGCATCTTTGTCTCAATTGCTCATCAGTCACCAATGTTGACAAGTCAACCAATAACCAATAACAACCAATAACAGAATTTTAAACAAAACATTATTCCCTTCCTAGTGTTCATTTTCTTGCCTTGTGAGGAGCTGATTTCCTAACATAAATGAATCCAACAGGTTCTATCTTAACCGTTGCAGGTTCTTCTCTGTCATACAGAGCAAGCAGAAGACACAAGCCCAGCTGTTTTCTCCTCTGTAGGGAATTCAWTCTAAAAGTAGAGGAAAAATCAGGAGTTGTGCATATGTCATAAGGATARTCCTAACTAGCTTGACCATCCTGGAGGGCTCAAAGGGCTTTACAGAGGGGAAGGCTGGAAGTCCGGCTGCTCTCTGGCTCTCATGAAGTTCGGGCATTCAGCTAAGATTCACTGGGCTCCCACACGTCTCCTTGGGAGCYGAGAAGCCTGAGAGCCTCCACGGATGCATTTGAGTGCCTCACAGGAGCTGGCAGCCAGTCTGCAGTCTAAAAGTGCTCCTGGCTTCCCCTCCTTAGACTGAAAAAGGAGCACTGTGTACTTGGCAGCAAGGCCCAAGCTTCTTGGAGTCGGCGGTCARTAGCAAGGAACCCTTTCCACTCCCTCCTGCAGTATTCCTGGGCTGTGCAGGGCCATGCCCGCTCCAAAGTGTTTGCATTTTCCGATGTTACACTGCTGCTACTTTCCATTCGGACAACGGACCCCCTGGATGCTGAGCGTCCTCCCCAGGGCTCGCTCGGCCGAACGGGCAGCGGAGGTGCCTCTGGCTGGGTTCTCACGTGGGAAGAGAGCGGAGCTCTCCAGGAAGGGGGTGTCTTTTTCCAACCCTCTTCGGCAGCCGCGGTTCTTGGCTGCGCAGAAGGGACACGAAGAAGCAGTCTCTGAGAAAACGGGAAATGGTCCCTCTGCGTTTCAGCAGCGCTCGCGTCAGCGAGCGGTAGTTTTGGGTGGTCAACGTCCTCGAGCTTGGCTCCCGAATTTCCTCGGCATCGCTGCAAAGCAAGAGCTCATTTTGCTTCCTTGGAGCCAGGCAAAGCCGTGGGGGAAGACGTGAGGGCAGACGGAGCACCCTGAACTCTCTGTCTGCACCCAGAGCGTCGCTGCTGGGCCCTGGGTGCCCGGGCCGGCCGGACCCCTCTGCTCCTGCCCTTGTTAACGTTCAGATCCTTTGGAAATGTGAATATACTTTCATTTTTTTATTCTGTTTTTTATTTTGTTTTGTTTTTGTTTTGCAGAGTCTGTCCTGGCTCTTGGGGCTTGAGAATAAATTATGACCCCACCCTCAAAAAAAAAAAAAAAAAAAGTTTTATATATATATGCAAAACTTGTATTTATGTCCGATAGAAACCAAGATGTGTGAATATGCTGACGTGCTCATAAATATATTTATTTACTAATATATTTATCCATGTACCCGGCCTGCTCTCGTGTTTTCCTTCGCCCGCAGCCACGCGGGAAGGCGCCTCCGTCCCGTGGAAATGGGGCCCCCCTGGGGGTGCGGGGGGAGCTGGGCCGGGCCGGGGGGCGCAGGAGGCCTCGGCGAGGCCGCGGGCCCCGCTCTCCCGGGCCGGGCCGGGCCCCGCTCTCCCGGCCTAGGCCGCGCTCTCCGGGCCAGGCCGGATCGCAGCGGGCGGCCCCGCGGCTCCCGCCCGCGCGGGGTCGCTGCGCGCGGAGGCGGCGCCCCGGCGAGGCCCGGCCCGGCCCGGCGCGGCCCCTGCGCCTGCGCGGCGGCGGCGGCCATGGCGCTGGAGACCGTCCCCAAGGACCTGCGGCACCTCCGCGCCTGCCTGCTCTGCTCCCTCGTCAAGGTGCGCGGCGGCCCTTGCGCGGCGCTCCCCGGCCCCGGCCCGGCCCCGCCGGGCTCCGCTCCCGCCTGCCCGGGCTCGCCGGGCTCCCTCCGCGCGGCCCCCCCGGCCTCCCCGCGCTCGCGCTCAGCGGCCGCACCCCCCGTTCCCTCTCCCCGTCCTCTGCGAGCGCCCGGCCCGCCGCGGCCGGCCCGGCTCAGCGCGCGCCGCCCCCGTCCCCGCAGACCATCGACCAGTTCGAGTACGACGGGTGCGACAACTGCGATGCCTACCTGCAGATGAAGGGCAACCGCGAGATGGTCTACGACTGCACCAGCTCCTCCTTCGACGGGTGAGTGCGGCCYGCCGGGCACCCCGGGCCGCCCGGGGCCGGGCCCGTGTCCTCACCCCGTGTCCCCCGCAGGATCATCGCCATGATGAGCCCCGAGGACAGCTGGGTGTCCAAGTGGCAGCGGATCAGTGAGTGTTTGTGCGGGCGCTCTGCGCTGGAGCCGCTTTCCCTCTGGCAGCCCTCCCTGGGGGTGGCGGGGCTGCCGCTGCGCGCTGTGACTCGGTGTGTCCTTTCCGCAGGCAGCTTCAAGCCCGGCGTGTACGCGGTGTCGGTGACCGGCCGCCTGCCCCAAGGTAACGCCCGGCACCGGGAGCCTCTCCCACGGACAGCGCGGGACTATCTTGGGCAGTGGGAATGGGGGGCAGCTGGGGACCGGCCCTGAGGTGACAGACTTGATCGTGCATCGATACTGTGTAAATCACACTGGCTGTGTGTGATATCGTGAGGACTGAGAGGCAGCTCCTGGTGACTGCACCCCTGTAGCTGAAACGAACACCGCAGTGAACGGAGCAGGCGTCACGCGGATGAGGAGGTGCGCSAGGGAACCGCTGCAAGGAGAGGTTAAATCGGGAGGGCAGTCGCAGGGGATCTGTGCACAGATATTGCCCCCGCGCTCAGTCAGTGTCCGGCCTGTCAGAAACRACAATGAAACAACTGAGAATGAAACCTGGGGATTTCGGAAAGACCGTCGGAGYGGTGACCTGTGAGAGAAGGCCGAGCTCAGAACGAGAGCGTGGGTCAAGGTGTTCGGTGCAGGGCAATGCGAGAGCMTGTGTTAGAAACGAAAGCGGTACTGTTAAAGAAAGTGATCTTGAGGAGGGCTGGGGGTCTTGGTGAGCAGATAACCCTTTACACCRTAGGAGTGCACAATGGGCTTGGTGGGTTTTGTGCATTTAGAAGTGGACTGGAGGGTGTTGAGAGTCGACTTTACTCYCTCTGTAGCAGAAATGTGCACCTTCCATGTGGCCAATGGCCACTGCTCCCTGCTGCCTCTCCAGAGGCCCAGAGCAGAATCCCAACCTCACACCCCTTTCCAAGTGCTGCATTCCCATGTCCGCAGCCTGTGCRTGTGTCTGAAATCCCAAGCCTCTTATTTTTGACCTGAGCTCCATCAACTGTATGGAGGAAGGAGCTGGAGCATCACGATGATGAGGAAGAACTTTCCTATGAGGGTGCCCGAGSCCTGGCSCAGACTGCCCAGGGAGGCTGCAGAGGCTCCTTCTCTGGAGATCTCCCAAACCCACCTGGATGCGACTGGGTGCCCCGAGCTCTGGGTGACCCTGCTGGAGCAGGAGGCTGCACYGGATGATCCCTAGAGGTCTCTCCAACCTCAACCCTTCTGTGATGATCCTTGACATCAAGGCCTGCTGGCCACAGCTTTGGACGTGTCCGAAATAATTGGAGCGCAGCCGATGGCAGCGTGTGCTGGGCACAGCTGCCCATGGAGCGCACAGGGCAGCAGGAGGGCAGGGGCAGCTGCTGTCATTGGCCTTGCAACGGGAGGGAGGACAGAGAGGTTAGGGGGGACTGAGGAGTGCAGGGATCAGCGAGCTGCACTCGTGGCCCTCGAAGGCYCTCCTTTGGCTGTCCCTTGCCATAGAGTGCTGTTCTCCTAACGCTTTTCTTTACCAAGAAAGTCACAAAACTGTTTGAAAGGTTTAAGAAAATGCCTTAAGAGCTTGGTCAGTTCATTATCATAATATTCAAATAACTTCAGAAAGAAAATAAATGACATTCCTGCTCCTGAGGAGAAAAAAAAAAWTGGTATATAGGAAGTGAATCAATAAACATTCTTTACAGTGAAGCTGATACCCTGAGACGATTGTCCAGCTTTTGATTTCTGTGTCTGCTGTGGGTGCTTCCCTTTCATCACAAGCGACTCTGCATAGTAAYTAGTTGAGATGTACTGGTCTTACCAGGAGCAAGAAGAGATGGTTTAAGATACACGGAGTGACTGGCCCCGTTCTAAAGTGTGAGGGACAATGTTTCCTGAKGTCCTTCAGCTGTACCATGTGACAACACCTGCATTCAGCCAGTGTAGATGTGAGCGGCAGTTCTGGGTGTCTAAAAGGAYGGGCACAACCGGCCGGCTCCCGAGGGCTCCCTCTCTGAATGCTGAAATGTGTTTGTCTCCCTCCTGCAGGCATCGTCCGAGAGCTGAAGAGCCGTGGCGTGGCTTACAAGTCTCGAGACACAGCTATCAAAACCTAAGGTGCTTCTGTGCTGCCTCTGCTCTGCGGGACCAACTGGAGGGGCAGCCGGAACACGGAGGGCTGCTCTGGAAGCCTTGAGCTGTAGCCAGTGGSTAAACGAGCGGGGGCTTGGGGGGTCCTTGCTGGTTTGTTGCCTCACCTCTCTCACTCAGTACCTTTGGACTTTCCCATACTAATTTCCCCCCACAAACACAAATTCCAATTTCTGCCCACAGAATAGATTTTTTTTTCGAAGTCCTGATAGGAGCATGTAAGTAGGTCAGGGAAAGAGGCTTTTAATAGTGCACAAACCTTTTGCTGTCAGCATGGGGAAGAGGAGACCTGTGTAAATACTTCAATAAACCATGCAACCTGGTCAGCGCTGTGTCCGTCGTGTGTGCTCGCTCTGCAGTCCTGCCCACCACAGGATGGATGGATCAACACCCTGGATGAACTGGGGTGTCCTTTGCTCTCAGAACAAGCAATGCCAAATCTCACTGCTGGACAGAATAGGTAAGAAAACGTGCAATAATTTGTATGGAGGGAGTTCTAGTGGTCACAGTAGCCTTCACCCTGCTTTGCAGCGCACCAAAGTGAGTTACCTTGTGAAGCAGACTGGAAGGACTTGGAATGGACCATTGATGGCCTCCAGTGGCAGACAGAGCAGGAACAACCTGCAGCTGGTGGCACTGGGAGGCATTGGACCCTGCGGCGGGGAGGGATGTGTTGTTGCCCCAACAAATAGGTAGAAACACGTCCTGCCTTGYGGTCATGAAGTCCTGGCTAACACCATGCGTTTTGTCCTGTCCAGCTAACTGGACACAGTCTCCCCACCGTGTCGCACTGGCTCCTCAGAGACTCGGTATCCTACTGACTATTGCTAGTTTAGTTCTAGTTCAGCAGTAGCTAGTGACCAAAAAGCATGGCTTTTCTCCRGGGGCTGGGCAAGCAGAGTCCTCTATCAATAATGTATCCATAAGCTTTTGTTTTTCTGTTTGTTTTTCCTATATTTTCCTTTTTTGTTTGTTTGTTTGTTTCCTATATGGAGCTCTTGGAAAACTGATAGAACCTGGAAGGTTATTTTATTTGATTCAGGGCAAAGTGCCTGCAGTGAAGAGAATGGATTGCTATTGGAGAGTGGCCCTGTCAAGCTACAAGGTATTGTTGGTGCTTTTTGGTTTCGTCTGAGTTGTAGAGATCACCCAAAGAAAACTTCCCCGTATTACAAGCCCAGGCACTACAGGTTGGCCAAGGAAAATCTGCCTGTTTTCTGGTTTCTGAGCGGAAACGCAGCTGGAGATGCACCATGCTTTGGTGAGTGCATGGAGACGGTGCAGGGGGCTGAAGCGGTTGAGAGGAGCCACTGCACACCAAGATCATTTAAACTACACTTCTCTCARGGACTCGCACCTTTGACACTGAAGTCAGAGGGTTTGGTAGGCGCAGACTGGAACCAGGTCTTGCAGCGTGAGTCGTTCAGCTGCTTGTGGCTCCAGCAAATACTTGCATGCGAGCAGCACCTTGTGCAGGAAGGGCCGAGAGCGCCTTGTCACAGAACAGCCCGTGGCCCGGTGGCTGCCGTGCTACCTTGCGGAATGGAGCAGCAGGTTCGGGTCCTGGGCAAAGGAGGCCACCGAGCCCGGCTTTCACACATCCTTGACCATCCTTGGTCAACGTCCAAATCCTTAAGCTACCTCATACCCATGCTCCCGGCCTGCTTGGTTGCACAGAACGGACAAGAGACGTACGTCAGAAATGCCTGGTAGGTCAGGTCTTTTGGTGAGAGGTGAAGGAAAGCACAGTGTGGAAGCCTCAGCAGGCCGGAGGGACGGCTTCCCTCAGAGCTAAGATCTGGAGATTTTGTGCTTGGATATCTGGGCTCCTGAAGGGTGGTTTCAGACCAGCTGTGCAGCGGGACGGGCAGGGTGAGCTGGGATTCTGTCATGTCCTCTGGGATGAGTTTGTCTTGTGCAGGTTTGTCCGGGAAAGAAGGAATGACTGTTGTCTCAGGTGTGGTCTGAGCCTAACGGCAACTGGCAAGGTTTAAATTAAACCTGGTTGGGAGYGATGTGCTGCTGGACAGGGTCCCTCTAGCTGAGGGAGGCAGGTTGTAGGATGGAGATTTGGACTGGAGCTGGTTCGGAGGGAGGGCTGTGCGGAGCCGGCTGCGAGGACGGTGGAGAGGGAGGTGCTGGCTGGGGCTGCCCCTCGCAGCCCTGCTGCCGGGATGCCACGGGGTGGCAGCAGGGCTTTGGGGAGCGGGGCTGCGGCCGCCTGCTGAGCTCACCTGCGCACAGCACGGGCATTAGTCAGGCGCTGAGCAGCAGAGACCCGAGGCAGATCTCGGGGTTCCAGTACATCCCAGAGGGCACGGAACTCTCTTCCAGCTCCCTCGGTGCTCAAGCATAGGTGGCATCTCCCTTCCCCKGCTGCAGGCTTGGGGATGAGCCTGCTGGATCTGCTCCATGCGGGGAGGCCCAGCAAGGCCCCTGCCTCCAATGGAGGCTGTCTTATCTCGCTGGCACACGGGGCGCAGAGGGGCCTGCACAGGGCTGGGGGCAGCGGCCCGTGCCATGCTGCCAGCGCGGGGCCATTGCACGTGCTTGTGCGACAGGGAGCTGCGCGCGGGTCTTATGGTGTCGTGGCTGCCGCTGGGCAAGCTGCGCTCTGGCAGCAACTCGGTCGCTGCCTGGGGGTCACAGCAGGATTTAGGAAGTGGCTCTGCAGGAAGAGCATCCGCTGCCGTCATGCTTTGCAGGAAAGCAAGGCGGAATGCAGGGGTCTCGCGTCTTGCTAGGAAGTGCAGCAGCTCTGGCTTATGGAGAGTTAAGAGAAGTGGCTGCAGTCCAGAGGAACGGAGCTGAAAAGCCGAGCCCAACTGGCTGAGCAACCTGTGGTCRTTCCGAGGCAATCTGCCTTTCCCGCCCGCAGCAGATCGCAGCACTTTGCAGGGGCTGACGCCTGCCGTGGGGCTGAGGTGTGAGGCCCTTGCCGCTGCCTTGCTCGCTCGCCCCCGCGCGCGCCGCAGCTCCCGGCCCACGCACCCGAGTGATTCACTGCTGCCAGGCGCCCGAGCTGAGCGCTGGGCCCAGAACGAGCCTTCCGCTTAGATGCCGCCGCCAGAGATGCTGGGGGGTTGTGGCAAAGGCAAATGCATGTGCAGAACTTTATTTGCTGAGAAAAGTAGGCCAGGGAGATCTCATGTTGAAGAAAGCTGAGGAAAAATGTGCACAGCAGCAGCCTGGGTTGTAATTGCAAGAGAAAGCATCAAGCAGGCAGGAAGCTTTAGATCTGAGTCCATTTAAGACAGCTCCTCCCCTTGCAGCAAATGCTGCTCAAGTATTTCAGCCAGGCCTGCAGTGTGCAGGTTTGGCATGTGAAGCAGCCCGGCGGCGCTGGGGCACCTCTCAGCAGAGCGTGCCCTGGGGCTGGGCTGGGCTGGGGGCCCCGGGCTGCCGGGCAGGAAGTCCCAGCGAGTTGATTTTTTTTTTTTTTTTTAATGCAGGTTTTGAGAACTGATACCCGGCTCTCCCTCCGGGCGAGAAAAGTGACTTTCCAAAACCGCAGAGCACACGGGGTTTCTACGCGAGGCAGCTGCCGGCTGCTCTGGGAAAGGCCCGGCCGAGCAGTCGCAGCGCGAGGGGCCCTGTGCCGGCCTCGCGTGCCACCCCCGCGCTGCTCCCGGTGCCAGCGCGCGGCCTGGGCAGCCCTGTGGGCGCTGAGCTGCTCGCTTGGCGCTGTGGAGGCTCTCGTGGCGGTGCTCGAGCCGGGCCTGGGCTCGTCGCTTCTGCAGAAAGGGGCTGTCGGCGTGAGACGCGCTCAGCGCTAGGGCTGGGGGGGCTTCAGGCAAGGCAGGGGGWGAGCCCCCACCTTCCACGCTGCAGTTCTGATCCTGCAGACGCTCTGTACGCACCAATGCAGCTGCTCTGGTTGTCACCGTGGCACTTTGGGTGGCCAGGAGACAGGGCCACAGCTTGGAGCTCCCTGCGGCTGGCTCCAGTGCCGCCTTGCCCTAAAACCCTTGGCACTTGCTGCCTCTCTGGCTCCTGCTTTGCCCTCAGTCTGCCCTGGGTGCCTTTCTCCCAGCCATCCCTGTGGTCCTGGGGGTCCTTTGGAGCTGCTTGCTGGAAGCAAGTGGATTAACACAGACTCCCACTTAGAGCACAGGGCTTGGTGGTAGGTGCAACAGAGGAAAATAATGAGATAATAAAAAGAGCAAAGCACTTTCTTTGGCAAAAGCAAGCCGCGAAGTGGCTTAAACAAGCAGAGGATGATGGTCAGAGTTAGCCTCCTGGGCCTGCCTGCCTGAGGCAAGCATGGTACGGGTATTGGAGCAGGAGTGGAAAATAAAGTATGAGGAGACGGCCTGAAGCTGAGGTGCAGACCTATTCAACCGTCATCTCTGAGTCAGAGCAGGTTTGTGGGAGTCGGCAGGGAGCTGGTGTCTGATGTGGGGAGGAAAGGGGGCCACTCGCTAGCGGCTTTTCATCGCAGCAGTTTGAATGTGCTGCGGCGGGAGGGGGATTTGCGTTTTGAGAACCTGTGAGGAGCTTCCAGTAACTGACACAAGGGGCTGGGGTGAAGGTTTCRTAGGTGAGTGGCAGAAACGAGGCAGAGCCTCCATGTCCTCGGTTCAAAATGGTTCCCAGCAAGGCAGTGAAGGAGCAGGGCCACAAAGGGCTGGGGCACGTTCCTCACTGTAGCAGAGGCTTCCTGCAGGGAGAATGGGAGCTCTGGTCCATCGCGAGGGCTGTCTGCATGGAGAACGAGGCTTGTCTTGGATGTTYGCCCCTCCAAAATTTCAGAGGGAAGAGGGGTTCTGCTTTGGGAAGCAGACCTTCAGCAGAGATGTGGGCCAGTGGTCTATCAGTGCCCGAAAGACAGCCTGAAAAGGGCACGCAGAGAAGGGTTTGCCACCCCATGTGCTGCCCGCATCTCTGTACCCAATACTGCCTGCAGAGAGGCTTTCAGCTGCTTCGTGGTGGACATGAAACCCAACCGGTCTGTCTCGAGCTGTGGTTTTGGTGGCCAGAAGGATGAGAGAAGCAGGTGGAGGGTCTCAAATGTCTTCTGTGCAGGAGACCTCTTGCCTCCCCAGTCTGTTCTTTAAGCTGTACGCTGTGAGAAGGGAATACACACAGGCTGGTGGAGCAGAGGCGGGTGTTACCCACCTGTGGTGCTGATTTCTGGGGGGCTGCAGGGAGCTGTTTCCTAAGGGCAAATGGCAAAGCAAGAGCCGCTTCCCACGCTTGGCTCCCACAAGGAAAGCTGAAATCACAGAAGGCATCTGAAGTCATGGCACTACCAGCCCCCAGCCTTCCTGGACCTTTTGCCACATCCTTATGGCTTTTCTGCCAGGTCCTGAACCTACCTCTGCTC